ATTTATAGCTTTAAATAAACATGAATGAACATAAGAAGGAATGTTGTTTTAACCGCAGAAAGGCATCAGTACATTCCGTTTTTCAAGTTCAAATCCTCCCATGTTAATCTACTAACTCTCCTGACTGCTTTGTCGGACAAAATGGCGGATGGCGAAGTATGATTGATCAGATCACCTGTCAATCAAGCTCCTTGCGAAGGGTCAATTAGAGAAGCATGAGCTCTATGTTACATGTACTATGTGCTTCTCTATTACCATTACAATCTTCATTTATTAGTTGTGTGTGTGTGTGTGTGTATATGGGTGTGTGAAGTGGTGTCTGTTAAAGCCAGCATTACTAGCATTACTCTGTTAAATTACAGCATTTTCCCAAAAATATCTTTATTTAAAATTTTAAACGTTTTTCAGACATACAAAAGAAAAAATGTACAAAGAAACATAAAAAGACAAAACAAAAGACAAGGCCTCCCCCCACCCTAGAACCCCATGCTCACTCCATCAGCAAAAAGTATAGTTTACATGTCACAGGCTTTTACAAGGCGCAAGAAAGGCAACCACATATCTTTAAAATCCTCAAGTTTTCCTCTCACAATGTAGGTAAGTTTCTCCAGTGCCAGGTTGCTAGACATTAGTTTAATCCACTGGTTTATCTTTGGTCTTTCTGTGTCCTTCCAGTTCAGAGCGATTACATGTTTAGCCTGCAATAAGCAGAAACTAACAAGCTTCCTCTTTTTTGTAGTCCCTTTAAAACCATTAGGAAAAATGTGCAGTAAGCAGAGTTTACCGTCCATTGGCATGTTACATTCAATCAAACGGGAAATAAATGTAGTAACCTTCCAAAAAATCTGAAGTTCCGGACACTGCCACATACAATGAAGAAGAGTGTTTTACATATATTTAAGGCGAAAATCATTGTCCAAAAATAGTTTTCTACATCTGACCTTTGACCTTTTTTTGGGTGCTGTCATTTATAACTGACTTTATCCTATTAGGGTAAATAATTTTGGGCAAATTGTCTGAAACTTCACACACATTCAAATGCATTTTTACTATCTGAAAAGGTATTTGTGCTTCAAAAAAAAACATTAAAAAGCTTTATTAACATTCCATTTCATCTGGTTCTACTATATTTCATTTGGAAGTCACATGTGAAAATGTCAAAAACTTGACACAAAATCAGATGCAACTTCACTACTTTTTTTTCTCTCTCTTGTATGGATTACTGCTGCCTGTAAAACAAATTGCCCCTTGGGGATAATAAAGTTGACCTAACCTTACCTAATCTAACCTGGAAAGTAGTGAAACCATGTATTGGTGTTTCAAAATAATCTTTAACATTGTTTCTTTTTTTGGAATTCCAAATCAATGATTGAAGTGCATTTCATCAAAATGCGTCTTTTTCAGTGTAACCCACACTTTCCACACGTAACTCGATTTTGACCTGTTAGTCGTCATTTTTGGAGCATGAGTGTAGTGAGGCCAATAGGCAGTGGCATCTTTCCTGACCTCTGGTTGTAGTATGGATCACATCTTGCAAACTGGCATAGGAGAATGTACCAAAATGTCTGATTTCCACAACAATCTAGGACTTATATTATTCATTTCTGCCAACACCCTCACTGTTTCTATCCTCCTTGATCTTCAACTTCTTCACTTCTTACTACGTTCTCGTGTTCTAGTGCACTGCCGTCCCAGTCATCGATACTTTCTGGAAAAGGTACAGATTTTCCTCTCTGTCTTCTATAAACTCCTAAAACACAGGCAGAAAGGCTATTATACTGCCTGCCAGTACTGAACAATAGTGTAGCTACACAGAAAATATGTACCCCCTAAAAGGTCTTTGTCATTGATCACAGATTTTTTTTATTTAACTCTTTGAGTTATTGATTTTACAAAATGTGCATTAAAAATGACCCAAAACTTAAAGGGTCACTCCACCCATTTGCATTAAGAGGTCCATTGTTAGACAACCAGTCATACTATTGAATGGTCGTGCAACATTCTTTCATTTTCCCCTGAGACGAGAGAAATCTACTATTTACCTTTTTCACTTCCTCCTACAATGACGCAAAAATCGTCATTTGACGTCATTGTAGGAGGAAGTGTAAAAAGGGGGGATTTCTGTATAGACTACAAGCACAAATTCCCACCCTTTCAAACCCGCCCATAGGGGGTTGTGCCTAATGCGCTAACAGAGCTATCACAGATCAGTGGGTGGGACTTCACTTGCAGATACTGAAAGCAATATCAGCCATCTTGTTTATAAGCTAAGCTAACAAGCGCTGTGGAGATAGGAAGTTACGACAATGACGGAAGAAACTAAACATGATATGGAAGTAGAGGATTTTGAAATTCTGCTGCTCGAATTCGCTCTTCGTGGCTATCTTTACGAGCCGCAATATAGTGAAGAGCAGCTGAGGCTGATGGAGGATCAGGAGGCGGCTGCCTGTCGCGAACGAGGAGCCCGGACTGGGTCGAGCTGAGGCGGACTGCTGGTGCCTGTGCTCTCGCTGTGCGCTACGGACACAGATAGAGTCCGTCTGCTGCAAAGAATTTCAACGATCGCAATTTCTCCTAGACGAAATCTCTGAATCAGACGACCACACGGACGTTTGTGTTGTGATGTGAACCATCCTAGTTTCGCCTGACTGAAAATCCAGGTATCATGCAATAATTCACCATATAGAAAGAAATACAAACGAGTAATTCACTAATGAGTTTGCCAATGTAACGGGGTTCGTTGTTGTGGGAAGAAGGAGGCTGGAACGGCGAACATTTAAACATTTTAATAGTAAAATAAACAAATACAAAACAAAAGTATAAGCCAGCTGGCCACACACAACAGAAACAAAACATAAAATCAGGCCTGTTCCTTTTATGCTTCCGCTCCTCCGTGAGAGATATGAGACCGCTGCACAGGTGCCATTCATTATCACTCGCGTCGTCCTCTCACGTCCCTCGCCCTCGTCCTGCTCGCCACAGCCAACTAACTAGACATTTTTTGTGAAATGAATTTCAAACTCATTTAGCAGCTAGCCTTCTTGTAGACGGAAGAGTGATTTCTCTGATGTTTGCGCTGTTCTGGATTAGTGGGAGTGGCTTGCGGAGCTGTGCAACGTGGTGCATTGTGGGAGTTGTTGTCTTACATACAAATGCGCCCTAAAGTTATTTTCTGTCTTTTCTCGGTCAAGAGGGCACCAAATTCAAAATTTCTTTTACATTTCGACTACATATATAACCCACTTTCAATAAAGATTAATGTTGAAATGGGTGGAGTGACCCTTTAAGAATAAGCATTTGGATTTACAATTATTATTTAAAAATAGAATTTATATGTATTTCCCAATCTAAAATGAACTCACAATGGAGCCTTGGCAGAATGTGACCTATGTGCTAATGTCTCCTTCACTTCCTTGTTGCCAAAAATGTCAAGCTCATGGCACTTTTTTTTTTTTTTTGGTTGAATATTAGTTTTTTAAATGCAATTTTCTCTGCACCATTTATAAAGACGATACACCATAGGGTTCAATTACTGTTCACATTTTTTTTATTCTATTTTTTGCCTGTCTTGATTTTGTTATTGCAGACACCAAGGGCGAAAAGAAACTTGAGGTTGTGAACGAAATATTGTGCGGCTGAAAAGAATAAAGCAAAGATACACATTGATTTATCAAAATTTATATAGTAATCTTTAGTCATTAATAATATTTGACTGCTCACTTGGTTTAGATTTGTATCCTATCAGAAAAGTAAGTCAACAAATAATTTGTATTTATTTTAAAGCACGCAAGTATTTGGTTTGTTTACTGTTTTATGTTTGTTAACTTGCGAATCAATATATATGTCTGCATTTCCTTACATTATCTGCTAGAAAAATATATTTGTTATATTTTTATAGAAAATATATATTCCACATCTTACTCCAATATTGAAGGCTTTTAAAGCCAAAATAAAGAGCGTATTTACAGGTTTCAGTGATTCTCCATCCCAGAGCACCAACTGCACATTTTGCACAGGTCCTTTATTTGACACCCAGTTCAGCTCACGAGTACTTTAGTAAGGAGCTAATAAGCTCAATTCATGCATAACGATGGGATAAAAGCATTTACTGAACCAGAATGGTTCAGTAAACAACAAGACTGAAAAAAAAAAAAAAAAACTGTTTAAAAAACAATTTAAAGCCAGTCAATAAGACTGGCTTTAAACTGTTCTATAAAACATTCGTAAGACATTTAAAGAGTAAATCCAAAACTTAAATCTTTTCATTGAAAACGGTCCTGTTAATATTGATGACATTGACCGCTGGAAAGCCTAATAATTGAATATGAAAGTACACTAGCCAATATGATAAGCTATATTTCTTTTACTTTACAGGGGTCACACTCATGTGACACTTTGAGGAACCAGTGACTGACAGAACACTGTCTCTGACATAGACAATAGAAATTCCGGATTTCACACATGCTGGAGATACACACTTACTGTGGATGCAAAAGTGTCATATCATGTGATTTCATGATTATCTTTTGTCAATTTTATTCCATGAAAGCACTCTGATTTAATGAAATGATTTAAATTTCAACCTGTAAAAAGACAGTATTTTTCTAATGTGTGGGCACATCTAATCACTGTTAATGAGAAGACAATTTCTTACAACCTCCACACAGTATTATGTATAATTTGATACAAAGTTTTATTAATAATAATACTTTTATTATTGTTATTATTTTGTTTGTTTTATATTTGTGTTTTAAAAAAATATTACTAAATATTTTGTGGAAATACATTGTAAAATCAAAAAATATGATTGAAAATGATACAGTATAGTAATGTTTTTGTACAAAGTTTGAACTGATTTAATTCCAAGGTAGTCACAAATTGTGAAACAATGCACTTCACACTATGGTTAAGTAACCTTGGAAAGTTGGTGGGTAGTGAACGTTGCTCATAGGGACATTGGTATATAAGGCAAATGTTACCACGCTGAACTCACAGTAGGATTCATTCGTCGCACAATGATCAGAAAGGTACTGACTTTTAATCATCTATGTTAGATAATTCATCCAGCGTTATGTTTTTTACCTCTTTTGCTACAGTTAAAATTCAAATGCATCAAAAAGTATTCATGCTGTTGATGGGCTAATAGGTTTGATCTTTTCTTTGCTCAGGGTGTTACTGAGAGTTTTGGGGCAGCAGTCTCCTGTCTGAACACATCTCATCTGACAGATGAAGTGATTAGAAGGAGTAAGCGAATGATACTGGACACGCTGGGAGTGGGATTACTTGGAACCAGTACTCCAGTCTTTAACATAGTCCTTCAGAGCAGCCAAGTAAGGATGCTGTTTCAATAGAGGGATATTGTTAGGTTAACCTCCCTTTGTGTCTGTCTCTTATGCACATTTCTTTGATCATTTATAAATTAGAGGCAGCAAGCAGTGGAAAACAGCAAAGTCTGGGGAAGACCAGGATTATCTCTTCCACCTCAGTATGCTGCCTTTGTTAATGGTGTTGCGGTAGGTCATTTTAAATACTCCCCTTCAGATACTCTGGTATGAACTAGTGATAAAATCAATAATTTCTGCATAATCAAGATGGTCCTGCTAGAGCATGTATGTATTCTCTCAGATGGGTGCTTGATAATGGGATGTGTTCCTGTGCTATTAGGTGCACTCTATGGACTTTGATGACACCTGGCATCCAGCCACTCACCCCTCTGGCGCTGTGTTGCCGGCTCTCCTGGCACTGGCTGAAACACTGCCTGATAAACCCTCTGGCCTCGAGCTGTTGCTGGCTTTCAATGTAGGCATGGAGGTTCAGGGGAGACTCATGAGGTTTTCTAAAGAGGCTCATAACATTCCCAAAAGGTAAAATATTTTGTACAATTATGCACTTTTTAAATGAAATATCAAATTAGATCAAATAAATTCTGGCCCCCATTTTATAACTTTTTTTTTTTCTCAAATAGACTAATCATTTTAAATTTGAGTATATGGCTGAAACTTTGATATTTATGGAATATCAAAGTATAAGTACTGAATGAAGCAAGTGGCAATCTATATAATCTATACAAAAAACAAAATTGCAAATGATCAAAAAAATGTGATTGTCATTTCTTATTATTATCAATGTTGAAAACAGTTGTGCTTAATATTTTTGTGGAAACTGATATATCCACCCCAAACCAGAATTTTTCAAAAAGTCCTCAATTACATAATTTGAAATAAAAATAGTTAGTAACATTATAAATCAGTTTTGACTAATATAATGCATCCTTGCTCAATAAAAGTATTTTTTTTTTTTAATCTGACCCCAAACTTGAATAGTAGTGTACATTTCCAATTATTTGAATAAGCATCAACTAATTATCAATTGGGTATATTTAATAAAAAAAAAAAAAACTTAAATTGGCTTTATTCATAAAATGCAAGCAGAACGACTGTCCACACCTTTACTGTTTTAATTAATAAAGTTTTTTTTTTTTTTTCTAAATGTATTTATTATATATATATTCTGATTCATGTGTCCCTCTCAGATTTCACCCGCCTGCAGTTGTTGGGGTTATGGGCAGCGCGGCTGCTTCGGCTAAACTTTTGGGTCTCCCAGCAGCCCAGAGCATAGCGGCTCTAGCGATAGCCTGCTCTTCTGCTGGAGCTCCCATGGCAAACGCTGCTACTCAAACCAAACCTCTGCACATGGGCAATGCTGCCCGCGGGGGTCTGGAGGCCTCCCAGCTCGCTCTCCTCGGCCTTGAGGGCAATACACAGATTCTGGATCTGGCATCAGGCTTCGGGGCCTTCTATCCAGATTATGTCCCTCGCCCACTGGCTGAGTTCACCCCTACTTCTCAGTACAGGTGGGTGTTAGAAGACCAGAACGTTGCACAGAAGCGCTTTCCCGCACACCTCGGCATGCACTGGGTGGCGGATGCAGCAATAGAAGCAAGGGCGACATTTTTGGATAAATACCCAAATGCAGATCTCAGTCAAATTAAGAAGATCACACTCAGAGTGCCCTCATCCAGATATGTAGACTGCCCTTTTCCAGTTAGCGAACACCAGGCCAGACACTCCTTCCAGTTCAACTGCTGTACCGCACTGCTTGATGGTCAGGTCACAGTTGAATCTTTTAGCAAAAGCCAGATGAACAGGAGTGCCCTTAAGGAGATGCTTCTGAAAGTAGAGTTGGAAAATCCACAAGACAATCATTCAAGCTTTGAAAAGATGTATTGCGAAATCGCCGTGGAGACAACACAAGGGGAAATGCTCAACGCACACTGCAACACTTTTTACGGTCACTGGAGGAAACCACTGAGTCATGAGGACCTCGTGAAGAAGTTCAGGGCTAATGCTTCGACCGTGCTGACCCCTGATGTCGTGGAGGCTATTATTTACACTGTAGACCGTCTGGACACAAACCAAGACTGCTCAATGCTTTGGTCATACATGCACTTTAATAAGCACATGATGCACAAGCATGAGCGTCGCTACTCAGCTTTGGCTTGAATTATTGTGTAATGTCACTTGCATTGTTCAGGCTAATAGAAAGTATCTTGGTGAACCACTTGTCTTATTGAAACCTGTGATGACTCTTTTCCTCATTTTCTTATTTTTGTTCTAGCAAACATTTGATGGTAACTATGATAAATCTGTAAATTCCGATGAGGTAAAAGTTAAAAGCACGAGAACCACTGTACTATTGTGATTGAAATTGTTACAAGTAATTTAGAGTTTAGCAAGTGTTCATTTTGAACCTTGTCTATAATGTGCATTTTGAGGGTATTGTGGTTAGCCTATTTCAGCAATGTCAGATTTTTTTTTTTTTTTTTTTTTTTTGTAAATACACAGAATTAAGTAACAGTGCTCTTTCGTCAGATGTCGTTTTTCCCAGAATGCAGAAAGTCAAAGTGAAAGTAACGAGAGAAAACAGAACAGCTCTGTTCATTTTTACACTTTCTGAATGAAAGGTTTCACATCAATTTCTTCTTTGGATTTTATGTCACCGTGTTTTCTGTTCTGTATTTTTTATTTTCTGTTTTAATATAACTTTTTACAATATATAATTTATTTAGGTAACACTTTATTTTAAGGTGCTTGTAATAAGCAGTAATTAACAGTTAATAAGACACTTATAAGACCTTACAAGATGCATATAAGATGCATATAAGCATTAACTACTTCATATAAGGGTTAATTAAAGGTCCAGGCCCTGAAGAGATCAGGGAAACTACTCCCTCTTGGGAAGGTACATTTTTAAGGGCCTGGGAGTTTGTGTTACCATTTATGTTTGTTCGGCTGTTCTAAAAGTGCAATGTATTGATACTTGAGAAATGTATTATTTAATTTAATTTATTTATTATCATTAGTTAGTGCTTATATGCATCTTATAAGGTCTTATAAGTGTCTTATTAACTGTTAATTACTGCTTATTACAAGCACCTTAAAATAAAGTGTTACCCAGTCTAGTAACCTAAAACGTTTTAAGGAGAAAATACTCAGAAACGGTTTTCACTGATTAATTTGCACATGGTTTGTCTTAAAGCATAACAACACCATATAGACATAAACTACATTAAAAACTTGATTTTCATTGTCTTTAACAATTTTCAGTCTTGCAAGCATCCACTGGATTTGTCCCACAGTTTTAAGTTTTCACAGATGTTTCCATCCACGCTCATTGACTAACTGCTACATGTTGTCTCATTGACTCCTAACATGTACCGGTGCAAAAGCTTTTTAAACTCTATCCTGAAGCAAACCATCTCCAATCATTTCAACATGTTGGTCATTGTTAAATGTTTTAATAAAGAAATATGTAGGAATGTTGTTCTAAAATTAATGGCTTGACTGCAATATGTGCCATTAACATGCCTGCTTTAATCGATTAATATCTTGATTATCTCTCTTGTAAAAGGTATACACACATCCACATGGAAGGGACAGACTGTAATATTTCATCTCCATCAATTTTCATTGGAGACCATTAATTTGATCGAATGGAAATACCACACAATCAACCAAACCATCCTGCTGGCCAGGATCAATCTAAATGAAAAGCGTTCAAAAATGTTCAGCAAGAGGACTGGGATACAAATAATGGAGAATGGTACACTTCAAATTGAAGATATTAAAGATGAAGACTCTGGGAACTACTCTTGCACCATCATTTTCCATGATCAAAGAATGAAGACAGAGCAGATTTTTCTTCAAGTACTTAATGGTACCATTCTATATCTTACAAATTACTTAAGGTCATTTCTCAAGATAATCAGACAATAGGATGATAGAGTAATTATCTTTGGCAGAAGCTATAGTCAATAATAATATCATCAATGTATTCTGTAAGGAATGTGTATTCTTTGGTAATGATCATTTGTTTTTTTCTGCTGAAGACTTGAAGACTGAACCACCAAACAGCACACTGTACACCACAACATTGAAACCATCAGGTACCTTTTCATTCACTTCATTTAATGTGAACATTAGATTAAAGGCACATTCTACTTCTATAATGGCGCTTTTCCACTGCATGGTACGGTACGGCATGGTTCGGTATGGCACGCTTTGGCGCTTTTCCACTGCCTGGTACGGTACGGCTCGGCTCGGTACAGCTCACTTGTGGCGCTTTTCCACTGCATGGTACGGTACAGTACGGCTCACTTCGGCTCGCTTTAAATGGTACCACCTCTGTTGAGGTTCCAAGCGTACCGTACCGATACTAAAATGTGACGTGAACACACTGCAGATCACTGATTGGTCAGACAGAATCGTCACTACCAGCGTCATTGTATTTGCGAGACATCAAACCTGCTAGATTTAAATAGCCACTTTAGCCAGTAACAGCCACCGCTGTAGCACCTGTTTTAAAACTACTTGCTTGACTTGCTTAAAGAAAAAAGAAAGAAAGAAAGAAAGAAAGAAAGAAAGAAAGAAAGAAAGAAAGAAAGAAAACTTCAAAAAAAAGAAATGGCTGAATCGTGGTCAGTGGATAAAGTGCAGACGTTCCTCTCATTGGTTGCCGAGGACCGGATAAACTATAACGGTCAGACTATAATCCCACCCACTTTGAAGCGGTACTAACCGCAGTGGAAAAGCAAACCGAGCTAAACCAAACCGATCCGTGCCGTGCTGTGCCGAGTCGTACCGTGCTGAGCCGAGTCATACCACGCAGCGGAAAAGCGAAGCGAGCCGAACCCTACTGAGCCGTACCAGCAGTGGAAAAGCGCCATAACAAAGAAAATTTTGATTTAGCCTTTTCACACTTTGCTTAGTCACCTACAAATTCATAAAAATAAAAGTTTTAAAATGATGGGTGTATCATTGCATTGTGCAAGATGCAAAGCAATATGTCACTTACCCATGAAGAATAAGTATAGTTAAACATTTTAAAGAGGTCATATTCATAATTAATTCATTCATTCAAAGGCCTGAATAACACTGTGACATCTATCTATCTATCTATAAATTACAGGAACGTCTATCTGTCTGTCTGCCTGTTAATCGCATATCTCTCGAACTGTTAGTCCGATGGATTTCAAACTTGATAAGTGTCTTGCTACGGGCACGAGTAAGTGCAGTGCCGAGTTTGACGTTGTTTGGATTAGAAATGCAAAAGATATCGTTAAATATATCGGTAAAAGAAGCACACATTGAAGTTGTGGTTTGAAAATAAACATTCTGACATAAACACTCTGTCAGCTAAACATTAAGTCAGCTACACTGTTTACTTCTGAATATTGTAGTTATTCAGAAGTAGTTAGTTGTCAGTAGTTAATTATATATGTAGTTCAATTTTCCATATTTATTGTACTAGTGCAATGCTTATTGTACTAGTGCAATTCTGGTTCGCTTAACATTGTCGCTACTGTGTAATAGTAGCCTATGCTATTCACCAACTAAACATAAAAGACGCTAACTGCCTTTCATTGGCTCTATATAACCCTTTCACGCGTACGATCACACCGGTGTGATCAGTCTTGGCTGGTCCCTGGAGCGTCCGATCACACCGGTGTGATTAGAACCATAGACATAATAAATACATAGACGCCCTATTGGCCGCTTTGGAATGTTGCTGCGATACGTCAACGGGTCCGCCATTTTGCGGAGGGCAAGACTGCGCTGTGAACAAACGTAAGTAAACGGGGGAGCTGCGTTTTTTCTAGATAAAAACAAACTGTTTTTACATTTATCAACCGATTTCAGTGGTTTGTATGTGGTGTACAAAAAGTTCCATCTCTAGTTATTTAAAATCTCGATAGTTAGACTTGTAAAATACTTTTTTTTAATAAAGAATGGTCAATTAAGCTCAGGCTTGTCATGTATCTGGCTTTTTATTCTTGGATAAGAATGGTGAAGACCCCCATACTGAGATATAATTTAAGTTTTCTTATTGTGGAAAAAGCATTTTCTGTGATTGACCAGATTTTAGCAATAACAAAGATAACTGATGGATCCTTTATAATAATACGTTATGGTACAACTACAGTGCAATGCAAATAGTAAATATAACATAAAGTGAGAAGTAATAGTAAATAGTTTAGTCAATAAAATAAACAAATAGTATACAGCAAATAAAATAGTAATGATTAGTATAATTATATAATATCATAAGTACAATAATACAATCATAAAAATATTGATAATAGCATAGTTTATTAATAATACTATAATAATAGCAATAGAATAAGAAATATCAATTACAGAATATACACAATAAAAAATAAGTTAAATAGTGACTTTAATATTTTACTCTTTTTGTTAAATTTCAGTTTTATTGATCAGTAATAGCCATTATAACAGAAGTAGCTTCAGTCAAACATACAGCAGGATACAACGTTAAAATAGCCTAAATATAAAGTTATGAAACTTCACTTTGCCCTCAGCCAAAACGATTTACCAGGGAACCATTTATAGATTAATGAGACCAAAGATCGCCCGTTAGATATACACAAGACGAATTATATCTCATGTTTAACCACTAGACTACAGACATCCGAGCAGCGGCAAAATTTCAGAAGCACTGGCCGAGGTACGGATGTTCCAGGGAGTAGCCCCAGAGTGCAGTCTGGACGATGGGGCGGGGCGACACTTTTGGGCGGGGCGACACGTGTCGCTCCGCCCACACCTGATTTTATTGGCTTATAATACAGCACTCTTATTGGCGTAGATGCTTAAGGCATGAGCATGCGCATTCCATTATGTACGAGTCTATGGTAGGAGTTTATGGATGATCTACGACGCTGTTTGGCCATAGCCTACTACAGAAATATTAAGTTATAACCATGGCGATTTCCTATTTCAGTAACGATCAATTGGATAATGTTTTGATGAATTTACGAATCAAGTTAGATGAAGTTCCTGTCAAAATGTATTCGTATAGCGCTCAATTCACATCGTTTTAAAGCAGCTTTACAAAAAGTAATATTGTAAGCTTTATAGGCTATAATATTGAGCAGTTTTAGGGCTAGGCGATATCACGAAATAGCCTATGTTGCTGATGATACACTGTTTGAGATTTAGCCTAGATACTATTGTATTTATTAATTTACCCTGGAGATAAAGTCAGTGCCACTTTTAGTGAGCAATGATCATGACGGCATGAAATTACTGGCATAGAAGGAGAGATAATTTCTATAGGCTGATTTAGGCTAGACAATATTTTTCCGCATTTCATGCAGGGCTCCGGAATTTTACATCA